AGACTTGCTAACAAGAGAGTTTTTCTCTTTAGTAAAGACTCCTTAAACTACTGGGGGAAGCAGGAGAGTCAGTAATGCAAAGACATATACAATTACATAGCAAGTTTAGGGTCAGCCTGGGCTACATAAGACCTTGTCTCAAAACAGCCAACCAACCAAACAAGCAAACAAACAAAAACTATTAAGACCATTTGAAAAAACAAAACACCCAGGATGCCCAGGAAAATTACAATAAACCCTCTCTTTTTTCTGGTTCACAATAAAACTTAATTCTGAAAGTGTGCAATGTATCCATGTAGGCATAGCAACACAAATCATCAAATAAACAATTTTCTATCCATTGTACACATGATTTTACTTGCTTATTGCCAAAATGGAATTGTGACTGTCTTAGTCACTCTCCTTTGAAGAGACACCATGACCAAGGAACCTCTTAGAAAAGAAAGCAAAACTTTTTTTTTTTTTTTTGAAGCAGACTCTCCCAGGAGGAGTAGAAGATTGGAAATAATCAAACTGAGGGCTGAAATCAACAAAATAGAAACACAGAAAACAATCCAAAAAATCAACGAAACAAAAAGTTGGTTCTTGGAGAAAATCAACAAGATTGACAAACCCCTAGCCAAACTAATCAAACGGCAGAGAGAGAAGACTCAAATTAATAAGATCAGAAATGAAAAGGGGGATATAACCACAGACACAGTGGAAATTCAGAGAATCATTAGATCTTACTACGAGAGTTTATATGCCACAAAGATGGAAAATGTACAAGAAATGGATTGGTTTTTAGATAAATACCATTTGCCAAAGTTAAATCAAGAGCAAGTGAACAATCTAAATAGACCTGTTAGTCGCGAAGAATTAGAAGCTGTTATCAAAAACCTCCCCACCAAAAAAAGCCCAGGTCCAGATGGTTTCAATGCAGAATTCTACCAGAACTTCCAGGAAGAGCTAATACCTATACTCCTTAATGTATTTCACAATATAGAAACAGAAGAATCATTGCCAAACTCTTTTTATGAAGCTACAGTTACCCTGATACCAAAACCACACAAAGACACAACCATGAAAGAGAATTACAGACCAATCTCACTCATGAACATTGACGCCAAAATATTCAATAAAATACTGGCTAACCGAATCCAAGAATACATTAGAAAAATTATCCATTATGATCAAGTGGGCTTCATCCCAGAGATGCAGGGCTGGTTCAACATACGCAAATCTATCAATGTAATCCATCATATAAATAAATTGAAAGAAAAAAACCATATGATCATTTCATTGGATGCTGAAAAAGCATTTGACAAAAAGAAAGCAAAACTTAATTGGGGGTTTGCATACAGTTTCAGAGCTTAGTCCATCATGGCATGGAGGACACTAGAGTAGCTGAGATCTACATCCCAATCCTTAATCAGAGAAAGACACTGGGCCTGGGCCTCTGAGACCTTAAAATCCATCCTCAGTATCACACTTCCTCTAACAAGTTCACACCTACTTCAACCAAGCTACACCTCCTAATTCTTCTCAGATGTCACTCCCAGGTGACTAATGAATTTGAGTTTATAGAGGCCATTTTTATTCAAACCACCAATGACTTAAACCCTTTCTCTTAAAACTTATTATTGTGCACACATAATGTATGTGTATAAGTGGAGGGCCTGTATGCCACAGGGCCTATATGGAGGTCAATGGTCAGTTCTGTGTAACTGGTTCTTTTCACCTTTTCTTTCTGGTGCTAGAACTCATGTTGCAGGTTTACAACTCCAAGTACCTTTAACAGCAGATCCACCTTACTGTCCCCTTTTCTTTAATGAGATGGTGTCTTGCTTTGTAGCCAAGATGAGCCTTAAACTCTTGAACCTTGGCCTCCCAAGTAGGATTATAGGTACATGCATCACACTCAGCTTGATTCATGCGTATGTATATGTATGTGCATGAATGTGTATGTCTGCATGTGTGTAAAGGTCAATGCACAACTTCAAATGTCATTCCTAGGACCTGTTCATCTGTTTTTAGGTCAGGCTTTCTTGCTAGGCTGAAAGCCCCTGTCTCCACCTTCCCAGCACTGAGAATACATATGCCACCATGCCTAGCTTTGGTACATGGGTTATGAGGATCAAATTTGGGTCCTTGTTTACAATGAAAGAACTTTACCAACTGAGCTACCATCTCTCCCCTGATTTATACTGCTTGAAGGAGAACTTATATAAATTCTGGAAAAATTCATAACCAAGAACTAGGATAGACTGAGATAGTTTTCTCAAATATTCACATGCAAGATTCATCTTTTTAAATAAGTTAAAATCATCTACTACTAACTAGAAACATAACAATGTGAAATTTTGCTTCATTTGATTATTCACAGAATACGAAGTTAAGCCTGTTGTCATGGTCTAGCATCAACTAAGATGTCTACTGTTACTTTAACAGGACCTAATTTAAATTCTACACTAAACAACTCCCATTACTGAGGACTTAAATTGGGTATCATGGAAACCCGAGATGAATAAACACACACACAAGCGCACGTGCGCGTGCGCACACACACACACCCTCTGCACACAGAGAAACACTCCTTTAGGGTAGAAATGGGACCACAGAAACCCAAAGTAAAATGTAATCACAAAAAAGGTTAGACCGGGGGGCTGGAGAGATGGCTCAGTGGTTAAGAGCATTGCCTGCTCTTCCAAAGGTCCTGAGTTCAATTCCCAGCAACCACATGGTGGCTCACAACCATCTGTAATGAGGTCTGGTGCCCTCTTCTGACCTGCAGACATATACACAGACAGAATATAGTATACATAATAAATAAATAAATAAATAATAATAAAAAAAGGTTAGACCGATTTCTAGAGGCCAGGGGCTCTGGAGAGGTTGCATGAAGACAGAATTTAAGGGCTTTGGGGTGGAGATATAGCTCAATAGCAGAGCCTAGACTGTATGGAACCCCAGATTTGATCTGTTGAACCACAAAAACTTAACAAGAACCTTGGGAAAGTCTTCAGTAGAGGAGAACTAAGCAGTATGAACAAGGGCACATCACCAGGAAAACAAGAACGGTAGGCGTCAGATAGTGTGACGGTAACTGGGAAGAAGGAAGCAGGTGGGGGACACTGGCAAGATCTACCAGGGCAAGATTCAGACATCAATACTAAACAGTGACAATCACTCGAGTTGGTTGTTAGGAAAATGAAAGTTCAATATACTATAAAAGATACTTCTACTAATTTATAAAGAAATGGTCAGAATAAAAAATGGTCTTGGATTTTGCTTATTTTCTTAGACTCTGTTGTAGTGCTGGCTAGGTCTGGAACTTGTATGTAGACCAGGCGAGCCTTGAATTGATAGAAATCTTCTTGCCTCTGCCACTTGAGTGCTGAGATTAAAGACATATGCCTGCACAGTTTTGTGTTTTGAGACAGAATCTTTGTGTAGCCTGGCTGTCCTGAAACTCATTCTGTAGACCAGGTTGGCCTTGAGTTCAAAGATCTGCCTGTCTCTGTCTCCAAAGTGCTAGGATTAAAGGGTGTGCTACCACTGTCCAGCCTAATTTGGATTTTTAAATGCCTTAATTTAAATAAATGTTAATTTCTATCAATAAGTCAATCTTTAATTTTTCTAAATTCTGTTACTTATGGATGATGAATCTTTTCTACTTTGAACTTCAAGTACAAGATTGATGTTTCTATTTAATACCATCTTGGGAGAGGCATCCTATTTCCTATTTAAGTAGTTCAACTGAAATTAATAAAGAAATTCAAAATAAACCCATTGTAAAAATATATTTTAATTCCAAACTGGAATATTAGCATTTAGAAAGTCATTTCCAACAATATTCACCAAAAACATTTTTTGTGGTTTTTTTTTTTTTTCTGAAATTTTTCAAGACAGAGTTTCTTTGTAGCTTTGGAGTCTGTCCTGGAACTTGCTCTGTCAACCAGGCTGGCCTCGAACTCACAGAGATCTGCCTGCCTCTGCTTCCTGAGAGTTGAGATTAAAGGCATGCGCCACCACTGCCTGGCTATTTACAATGATCTTTACTGTAGGAATACGCTTTTAAAGTAGATAGATGCTTCTTCCCAACTTTGGGACTAAAAAAAAGGGTAAAGCGTTCTGATGAAAACCATTAATATCAAATCAAATTCTCAAATTCCTGTGGTTAAAAACATCTGTCTGGATAGATCAGGACAGAGGCAGCAAGTGGGTGCCTGCCCACTCCTTCCCCATTATGTGACTAAACTGCACTTGAAACATATACAACAGACTTTCCCAGGGGAGGCACACCATAAATCCTCAGCAAATGGTTTAAATCTGAATCTTCACTATCAAAACTAATGACCTATTATTAGTCACTTCCAAGTGACTGGTGACTATTATTAGACTAATTAGACTATTAGACTATAATTAGACTAGTAATAGTCACCAGTCACTATCCTAACAGTCAGAAAATTATTACAGGGGCTGCCTATGTGGAAAGGGGGATGCCTATGCTGTGGATCAAAGGCATGACTGAAGAACTACCTCACAGGAGCACAGATGTTAACAGTAAAAGGAAGTTTGACTGAGAGACAGGGCTAGTAAAATCACCTACCAATTGTTTTCTGTATGACTAAAGCAGCTTAGGTCTGCTTCCAGAGAAGGAAAAATGATTGTGTAGCTTTGGGAAACATACTGGTCACATTTTTATTTAGTCCTTGATCAAAATCTAAAATATAAGCCAGGTGCAGTGGTGCACACCTTTAATCCCAGTACTCGGGAGGCAGAGGCAGGCAGATCTTTGTGAGTTCAAGGCCACTCTGGTCTACAGAGTGAGTTCTAGGACAGCCAGGGCTACACAGAGAAACTCTGTCTTGAGAGAGAAAAAACAAAAACAAAACTCAATGTTTTGCATCTAAACAAAAATACAATTTCCTTATGAGTTTATAGAAATAAATTGTGAAGAAAAATAAACACCACATGTTTCTAATGGTTTCCCTAGGATCTGACACTTTAGTCTGGGAAAATATGCATGGAATTTAATATTAAACTTCAAATTTATTCTTTTTCCACCCTATTATTTTCTAAGCAACAGGCATTAAACAAGCTAGTAACTGGGGGTAGTAGGATTAAAAACTTCCTCAAGCCAAGTTTCTATGTAGGAGCTTCATGAAAGTATCTGGCATTAACCAGCACAGATGCAACACATCTGTAATCCCAGCACTCAAGGACCATGAGGCAGGGAGATCTCAAGGTTAGGCCAGCCTTGACTATGCCTGTCTCAAAAATGTAAAGAAGATTAGTTTAAAGAGAAAAATGTGTGGCATATCTCATAAGAAAAATGGAAATCTGGTTTTATCTTGGGGTGTGTATGTATGTTCTGAGGATTAAATCCAAAGCCTCATACATGCTAACTAACTATGCCCCAGGTTTGATTTTGTAGTTATAAGTGGTTGGCAACTGTTTCCTTAATAGCTATTGCAGGAGTAGGTCCAACGTGAGTCCATATGTAGCCCTTCTCTGGTCTGGTGGGAACTGTAGGGAATGGTGATGACCTTGACTTGAAATACTCAGAAGGTGCATGACAGACAAATTCCAGATACTCCATCTTCCTTGGAAGATCTTCCTCTGGCCCTAAGAGGCAGCCAATGAAAAAGTTAAACACAGTTTTGAACACATTTCATTTTTATGAAATGTTAGCATTCTTAGACACTAAGAGGAAGCACTCAGGATGATATACCTGACATTAACCCTTGGAACCTATTTTTGAAGGTTTTGAAGACACACTCCACTATTTACTCTACTTCAAATGATTAAGAAATACAGCGTCCTAAAATATTGAATATTCACGGTTTATGAAGTCAATGCTGTCCTAGGTACCTTACATCTATCCACACTAACTCCTCAAACGTCCTGATGGTCACTATTTTTTCCTATTTTACATGTAAGTACAATAAGGAAAGACAGACTAAGGAGCAGTGAAGTGGAGGGGTTAGAAAGGCCAGTAGTCTAGCTCTAAAGCTTGGGCTAGACTTTCCCACCATGTGACACCATGTAGTGCACAGAAGACTCTCAGACTTTGGGGACCATGAAAAGCAAGTGAGAGAGGAGCCCAGAATGATTCAGAACATATTGGCTTCTGCTGGTTCCATACTTATGAACACAGATATGTCTGTCACATAACCAGTCTGACATACGAGTAAAAATAACAGTGGGATGTTAGCTATCCTTGGAGTTCTCACTAAAAGAAATGTCTCTCCTTTGGGATGCAAAACAAATGCATGCCCATTACAGAAAGAATGAACAGCACAGAATAATTAAAGAAAGCTGAACACTCAGAATCATGTTAGCCATTCACTTATCGAGTATTATTTATATTTTATCTTTTGAATGCCTTGAAATGATCAACTGAGTATAGTGTGCTACTTCAACCATCAACGATTGTTTTTAAATAAAAGGATGCTGTGTAGAGAGGACATATTCTGAGAATTTAGTTTTTAGAAATAACTAGGAAAGTTTTTTTAGAAATCATTTTTGAGTAATTTTATAGGTAACCTATATAACGTAGGTTCTTGTGTAATTCCTTTCATAAAATGTAGGCCTGGGTCACATAAACAAATCTTACACATATATTCTAGTCTAGCCCACACTAACACATGGCAGTCAGATACCAACTGTATGCCTAAAATGCTCTCTACTCTTTGTACTTACTAATATTTACATTCTTTATTCTGATTAAACTGTGTTCTCAAGCCTCTAAATTCACATGCTGATGGTCTGTCTGTATATGTTATGTGATGAAGATGGGATCATCAGACAAGGTCAAATAAAGCCAAAAGAGTGGGCCCCTTCAACTCTAGACAAGGAACTACAGGCAACTAAGAGTACTGAGAGTGAGAGAATTGGTCATGGTGTTGCCTCACAGCAGCAGAACAGTAACTAAGACCCCTATCAGTCCTGAGATCACAGAACTAAAGTAACAGGGAACAGACTGAGCAAGTTGTATTTATGTATTTAGGAATATACATTAATATATATAGCAATTAAATAATTAACAATAAAAACGTAGAACCATGAATTTGAGAAAGATTGGGGTGAGGTACATGGGAGATCTAGAGAAAGGAAAGGAAAAATAATATAATTGTACTTTAATTAAAATTGTGAAGGATTATGGGAGCCAGAGAGGTCAAGGACATCACAAGAAAACCCACAGAATCGGGCTGGAGAGATGGCTCAGAGGTTAAGAGCACTGCCTGCTCTTCCAAAGGTCCTGAGTTCAACTCCCAGCAACAACATGGTGGCTCACAACCATCTGTAATGAGGTCTGGTGCCCTCTTCTGGCCTTCAGGCATACATGCAGACAGAATACTGTATACATAATAAATACATAAATAAATATTAAAAAAAAGAAAACCCACAGATTCATCTATCCTGGGCTCATAGGGGCTCACAGAGACTAAACTGTTAACTGGAATTTGCATGGGATAGACCTAGGCCTTCTGCACATATGTTACAGTTGTGTAGCTTGGTCTTCTTGTGGGACTCCTAATAGTGGGAGCAAGGGTGGTCTCTGACTCTATTATCTGCTTTTGTGACCTTTTTTCCTACTGTGTTGCCTCATCCAGCCTTAATAGGACAGGAGGTGCTTAGTCTCATTGCAACTTGTTATGACACGGCTGACTGATATCAATAGGAGGCCCGCCCTTTTCTGAAGAGAAAAGAGAAGTAGATGGGGGCTGGGGTTGGCGGGAGGGATTGAGAGGAGAGAAGGGAGGGAGGGGAAAACTGTGACCGGGCTGGGGAAAATTGTGACCGGGCTGGAAAAAATTAAATAATAATAATAAATAATAATAAAGTGGATCCCTATCTCATAAGACTGATACCCTTCGATGAGGGAGCCTACATGGGACTGACCCTCGGCCCTCTACATATAAGTGACAGTTATGTAGGTTAGTCTTCTTGTGGGACTCCTAACAGTGGGAGCAGGGGCTGTCTCTGACTCTTTTGCTGGCTTTTGGGACCCTGTTCCTCATACTGGACTGCCTTGCCCAGCCTTCATACATGTGGAGGAGCTTAGTCCTATGACAACTTGATATGCCAGGCTTTATGATATCCACAGGAGGCCTGAGCTTTTTGAACAGAAATGGAGTAGGAGTGGATGGGGGTGTGTGTGTGCAGGGCTGGAGTCGAGGGAGAGAGATAGGGAGTAGGAGGGAGGGGAAACTGTAATCAGGATTTAAATTAAATGAAGCAATTAATAAATTTTAAAAAACAAAAGCAAAATAAGAGAAAGAGAGAGGGTGACAGGCAAACAACTAAGCTCATACATGTGGACGTGTACCTCTATGAGAACAGATATTCTCAATATAGTAGAACCCTATTTTACAATGAAAACAAACAAATGTGGCAAGATTTTTTATAAAACCATGATTGCATTTAAAAGTAAAATATTCTTTTTTGGGGAAGGGGGCTGGAGTCCTTATGAAAGGTAATGGAGAGCCCTCTTTCAATGTATACACACAGAAAAAAGACCATGGAAACACAGTAAAGGGTAGCCACCTCTAAGACAGGAAGCAAGGCCTTAGCACATAGCCATCTTAACAGCACCTTCCTGGGACTTCCACCCTTCAGAAAAGCTTGTAGCATTCTGCTATGACAGCTCACAGACTAACACATTCTTTTATAAAACACTGAAGAATTAACTAAATTTAAGAAGCTGTGCCATTTAGTCAACCTTACCTATTATATAGGATGCAGGATCAAACTGGTCTCTGGGGCTAGCGAGTGTAGGAATGAGCCACGTCAGCGCTGCGCTCTTCTCACAGTACTGGTCCTGAACAAAACCCCTGATCTGAGCATAGTATGCCTTTCCATCCTGCTCATCAACCACAGAAACAACATCACCAATCTGGTAATATACTCCCTGGAGCGAAGAGAAGATAATCTTGTATTTAAAATAGTAACAGATCACAACCATTAACAAAACTTCATTAATCAGCAAGCAAAATTTCAAAGTAGAAAAAAAAAATAAGGTCTGAGCACATTATGTTGACACTTGTTTCACTTCTCAATTAAAATAATTATTAAAAATAATAATATACACACATATATGACAATTTGCAACAGAGGAGGTATTTCTTTATATAAATTCTTTTATTTTTGTAATATGAAAATACTACCTCTACTTTTAAAAGAAAGACTTCACTTTTAAGAATGATTTTGAATTCACAACAAAATCATGAAAGGTAGAGCTAGGAAATTTCCCCTAGTCTCCTTACCTGGCACATATACAGCATCCTCCATTATCCATGTCTCCATTATTAGAGTGAAACACTTATGGCAACTGATGCACCTACACACATGTCATGATACAAACATCATAAATTAACCCTACTGTTGGTGCTATACTATCTGTGGGCATGGATTCACTAGGATCGCATCATTGAGTACTTTCACTGACCTAAAAATCCTCTATACTATCCCTACTTTTTTTTTTTTAATAAGCCATTAAGCCATAGAAAAGTTAAATAACTTATTGCTGAAGTCCACACAAGGCAGAAACTGCAAACTATGCGCCTACAGTAACTAGCTTAGTGATTTTCCTGTGCTACTTTTAAATCAGCATTTGTTTGGTGAGACACATTGCCCTCCCCAGTTGTCTATTCAAAGAAAATAAATATGGTAAACTCAATCCAAAAGAAATGAGAACCTTTTATTAAATTATAATTAGCATTCAGGATGTGTTTACCCTCAATTACAACACATTTCCCAAACTCCTTGACAATTGTCTCCTCCATACACTTCCTGTTTTACATCTTCCCAACAATATGATTATAACATATTCATTTCCTGTTCTACTTTATATCTAACTAATCTGTACAATTCTCCCTAGGCCTCCACTATCCATCCCAGGTCCTCTGCCCTAGATCTTGAACTTGAAAAGTTTCACCTTTGAATATCCTTTGAATTTTATGATATGTAGAGCTTTCCTTAAGTGTGAGTAGTCCTCAACAGGTCATATGTTCCCAACTGTAGGAACAATGTGTGTTTTCCTTGAAACAATGCTTTGGTAGCAGTCAAAGCTGCTAAGACACATGAAATTTAACCATAAAAAGATTCTAAATGAATACTTCCAGTGACTCAATTGCAACACGGGCATCTCATAGAGCCGGGGATTATCCTCGTGGATGCTTGTTCATATGTCTGAGGTGACCCATACCTGGGACCCAGTGAATGTGTACTGTGAATGTAGGCTACAATCTACTACTTATTGGTTCAATGCTATTATCAGCTGATCTTTCCCTGCCCTACTACTCCAAGGTTTTAGCTACTAATCAGATAGAGTTTATATTTGTTATCTGCTATATTCATACATGTAATTTCTCCCAAATTATAAAATTATACTTGTTTATCACAGGTACTCTGATACATGCTGAATATGAATCACAAATATGTAACAGTGTGAAAATAAAGCTATGATGCCAAGATAAGGTGTTAGTGAAAAGTTTCAATGACAAGCACTACCTCGCCCATGAGGTTTGTGCAGCGGTCTCCCCTTATGCGGGGCATACATTCTAATAACCTAAGAGATACCTGAAATCTTGGATACTGCTACTCTGGGCACTACAAAATTTCCTCCTATATATCCATACTTATGATATAGTTTAATCTATAATTTGAGTAACAGATTAACAGCAATAACTAGTAGTGAGGGGAGACTACCATACAGTCCAACAAACATCAGAAAGACACTCTATCTAGGCACTCTCTATTTGCTGACAGAGAGAAACGAGGTGAACATGTCAAGGAACACTGGACTGGGAACAGCCACACTGAGCTCATGCAGCCCTAACACTGCAGCACTCCAGAAAGGTCACTTAACCATTCTGCTTCCTGCATACCCACATTCTTACCTGCCAATACTAGCGACTCACATTCGTTTCTCTCTCATATTTTTATTATTTTTAAATTGTGTGTGTGTGTGTGTGTGTGTGTGTGTGTGTGTGCGCGCGCGCGTGTGCATGTGAATGCAGGTGCCACAGAGGACAAAGGCATCTTAATCTCTGGAGCTGAAATATAGTTACTTGTGATTGGCTAAATGAAGGTGCTGGGAACTGAAAACTCAGGTCCTTCGAGAGAGTAGTACATGCTCTTAACCACTGCCCTACCTCTCCAGTTCCTCTTTCTCATATGTTAGAACAGATGGGCACACCAATGTGACTCACTACATTCATGTAAAACTAGAGAAAGCTTAGAAAGGAATTCTAGACACACAAAAAAAACAAAGTTTAGTCACATTTTGGGGGGGGGGGTACTGGCGATGTGCCACAGCTCCTTTAAGAGAGGATTTCCTGATTCAGTGGTAGTAAAAAAAAAATGGTTTCAAAATGGCGGCATCCTGGTTTGCAAAGACAAATGGCTCTGACTTTTTCGGGAGGTCCAGCCAAGAAACATTTAAATGGGGTTTGTAAGCAGCGTGTTACAAACTGATTAATGGCTCAACATAGGCCTGCTGCAGACTTGGAACTGGGGTGGTGTTTGAGACTCACAGAGGCAGTGAACATGCACTCGCCATGTTCGACTGGGTGGAGCCAAAAGGTAAAGCAGCCTTGGTCCTAGTCAGGCCACAGCTTGGCTTTTTAAGAGGCGCTTAGCATTTTAAGAAATGCTCTTGGACAGAAAAGGATTTCAGATACACAATATAACAGACTCAGACATAAAAGACCTCTAAATGAGACACCGTGTGTTTAAAAAATGTACATAAGCTTAGGAGAGAGAAGAAAAAGAGTAAGAGACAGTAAGTATAATATAAAAGAGTGCAGAGAGTCATAGATTAAAGGAGTAAAGATAATAAAATAAATATTAAACTTGTAGAAAAAGTAATAGAATAAAGAAAATAAGCCATGTAAAAATGAAAAATATACAGAAAGTCTGGATTATGTATATGTATGTATATCTGGATTATGTATATGTATACCCCATTGTGCTTTCTTTGAATTTTCTGACTGTGAATGAGCTAAGTACAGAGAGAAATTTCATTGTATAGGCTGGTAAGTTAAACCAACCTATATATTTTAAGGGTATCTTGACTCCAAAATTTACATCTAAGGATTTGTTGCTTTGGAAATGACTTTCTGCTTTTGTTTCCACAGAGGATTAGAACCTGTGGATAAATTCCAGACTAATGTGGTTTGATGGAGCAAGACCCGCCCCTGCTGAAAGGTCACCATGAACACCCCCAAAATACTTCACCCAACAAAAAGCAGGAAGCAGTTTGGAGAGAACTACGATCAAATTCCCTAAATGATTGTTTATGCTTGTTTACATTTGAAGGGGGCTATGAATAATTTGCACTGGTATGAATCTTGGTTTATTGATACAAATTTAAGGTCAATTCTGATATATGTATATTTTTGGTTTTGATTAAGGTATTGTGTTTGTGCAGCTCAATTAAAAATGTAATGTATAATTTAAAAATATAGGTTAATAGAGAGTCATCTATAATAGGTTTCTCTCATATATATATATATGTGTGTGAGAGAGAGAGAGAGAGAGAGAGAGAGAGAGATTTCAGTTAGACAGGTATTCTTCAAATCTTTCAGAGACCATAAGAATATAGCATTTAAAATATTTTAGTAACTTAGGACTTTTCATGACCGTGAGATACATCTGCTCCTGGCAGTACCAATTACTTCAAGAGGAAGATGGACATCAAAGAGGCTCCTCATGGAGTTGGTTAGCCATTTGGGCAAGAAACTGCTCTTGCCTGAACTACTTGATGTTATGCTGTATGAACTGGATATGCAGGACCCACAGAAAAATGACTGCTGAACTTGCTTAAAGGTGAGGCTGTCCTTCAGGGTTTCTGCTTCATGAAAGAGTATGCCAGGCATTCTGCAGGACACAGAAGAAAGTGACTGACAAATGACCAATATAAGTGGAACTGTCTTTGAAATTTCTTGCTTCATTGAAAAGTCTGCTGGATACTATGGACCTGTAGACTAAAGATGGATGCTCCAAAGGTACAGAAGAACTTTGGGTGACTGTCCAGGCAGTGAGATGTCTCTATTATTTCTAGAGTTTTGGAAGTTGCTTACAATACAATTCCTGCTTACTTAGGTAATATTATATTCTTCTGGGGTCTTTGATGGAATTGAAGAATAGATAGAGTTTTCCTCGGTTATGATAAAAGATAAAGTAGATATAAATATCATACCTGTAATTCTTGCTTAATAACTATTTTGCTATATGTAATTTTACTACGTTAAAGTTAAAACCTTCCTTTTTATTTAATCAGAAAAGGGGAAATGGTGTGGGAGTCTGGTGTGGGAGGTCCTTGTGTCTATGTGTTGCTTTTATTGGTTAATGAATAAAGAACTGGCTTGGCCTATAGCATGGGAGGAGGAAGACAGAGTTAGAGGGACACCATGGAGCCGCTGCCAGAGTCAGACGTGCTAAAACTTTGCTGGTAAGCCACTGCCACATGGTAATACACAGATTAATAGAAATGGGTTAAATTAATATAAGAGTTAGCCAATAAAAGGATAGAACTAATGGGCCAAGCAGTGATTTAATTAATACAGTTTCTGTGTGATTATTTCGGGTCTAAGCTAGCCGGACGGCTGGGAACAATAAGTGGCCCTCTGCCAACAGAAGTCCTTTTGTCTATGTGGTGTTTTTATTGGTTAAATGAATAAAGAAACTGCCTTGGCCTATAGAGCTAGGTGGGGAAAACAAAGTTGAACGCTGGGAAAAAGAAGGCGGAATCAGAGAGAAGCCATGTAGCCCCGCCAGAGATAGATGCTGGATGGAACTTTGCCGGTAAGCCACAACCATGTGCCGATACACAGATTAATAGAAAGGGGTTAGATTAATATGTAACAGCTAGCCAATAAGAAGCTAGAGCAAATAGGCCAATCAACAATTTAGCTAATATAGTTTCTATGTGATTATTTCAGGAGTCTGGGCGGCCGGGAAACAAACAAGTGGCCTCCTAGAACAGGGATCCAGCTTAGCTTAGAAGCTCATACTGATTTCTTGAACTTGCTACCATGATATCAGCTCTTTAAGTGAGAGTTTCCACAATGCTGGCTACCTGCAACATTACTTGAATATTTTGCTGTATTTTGGTCTTACTATTTAATAAACACAGTAATAGATAATGATAAGAAAAGACTGATCCTTGCAGTAACAAGTCTCACATGCTTTTTCCATTAACTCACACATAGAAATCACTAGTACACTAAATTTTTACCTTCTAGACTTAACCTATACACCATATGAACCACTGGAGAAGTTCTATGCAAGTTGTGATGATGAGTATTTGTACCATTCACTGACTTTACTAAATGTTTAACATTCTTAATCTCAGAAAATAATTACTACTTACAATATTTATTTTTTTCAGATAACCACCTGCCAAGGCAATGGAGCCAAGATCTGATTCCTGGGCTTAGGTTCTAGTACCAGTCTGCCTTGCCCCATGACTTACCAGCTACACTATCTTGGATAAGCTAATTAATCTCTCTATGAGTCAATGCCCTTATCCATGAAATGAGGAAAAAAGAACTCACCCCAGAAGAGAATGAATGAAACAAACACTTAAAATGTTCTTCTCACTGTCTGACCCATAAGATGCATGCTTGTGTGTGCAAGCATTTGAGCATGCACACACACACACTCAACACACATTCAATTTATCTTATGATTTAACAATTAACAATGTATTAAATTCTAGAAATATAGGAAAAATTCTGGCTTATGATATAGTGGCATATTAATTGTGTTTTAATAAATAAAGCTTGCCTGAAGTGCAAAGCAGCCACATTAGTCAGCCATACAGGTCAAGCAATAGTCACACACACCTTTAATCCCAGCAGCCACACTAGCTAGCCATAGAGGCCTTAAAGAATCCCAGCACTAGAGAGGAATATAAGACAGGAGGAGATAGGTCTCACTCTCAGTCTCAGTCTGAGGCTTCGTGGAGGCAGGGTCACTCATTTTCGGTCTGAGGTAGAGGCAGTAGCTGGCTGCTTTGCTTTTCTGATCTTTGGGCTGAACTCCAATATCTGTCTCTGGGTTTTTAGTATTTGTGCTATACTATGACGGGCTTTTTTTTTTTTTTTTTTTTTTTTTTTTACACTAAAACACCTGTGAACTAACAAAACTAAATACACTTAAAGGTCAAACCATTTGAGTACCATGAGGTATTTGGTTAAGTTGGGTTAGGTACAAAAACAAGTACTAACTCACTACTGAGTCCAGCATGACAGTTCAGAACCTCAAATACCAAAGAAAGTAAATGACAGCTGCCTATTCTGGGCCTGACAGCCTTAAAGGCCTTTTCTATGTTCTAACTCCTTTTGTGTCTTCCACTTTAAAAGTAATGAGATGTCACATCCATCACTGGTGTCATGGATATCACTTTGGCCCAAAGCAAGACCTTACTTTATAAACTAAAAATATCCTTGTTCAGATTTTTGTCTTTTGTGTATGAGTGTTCTAACTGCACGGAAGTTTGTATACCATATGTGTGCCTGGTGCCCTGGGAGGCTAGAAGAAGGCTTCAGAACCCCTGTAACTGGAAGTACTGATGGTTGTGAGCTGCCATGTGGGTGCTTGGGGATTGAATCTGGGTCCTCTGGAAGAGCAGCCAGTGTTCTTAACTGTTGAGTCATCTTTCTAGCCCAACCTTTAAAAACTTTTCTTCTCTTTATTGAAAACAGATCCATCCAATACATCCCAACCACAGTTTCTCCTCCCTCCACTGCTCTCAGTTCCCCTGCATCTCACCTGTCCACTCCCCCTCCATTTATCTCCAAGAGACCAAAACCAAACACCAAGCTAACAACCATACATGTATACACAGAGGAACTGGTGTCTCTACCTTTATTTTCTCTTGCTTCTGTTCTAAGGTATTTCAGAATCACTAACCTGCTCTACCCATCAGACAACATGGTCAACATTGTCTATTCATTCATAACCTACCTTTGCCCTTCTCACCTGTCGATGCCTTCACTTTGGATAGAATGACTCACTCTTACACAACTCCACACTATTCACTAGCATTTTAAGAACAATTCTTAGTAACTTCATATCATATTCTCACAGGCAACATCCCTTCCTACCTGAGTTCCAGATGAGGTGTTCTACAACAGCCACCTGGAGGGAACTAAAAGGGTAACCACATCTTCTGCACACACAAAGTAACAAAGATGTTCCCACTAAGCCAATATTTTAGTAGCATATTGTACACCAGGCCCAACTGTTCTCTCAGTAATGCCACAGCAGCTTACCTTGTAGAAGATTGATTCTGCAGTAATTATGGTAGAGACAGATTCAGGAGCTTTGATAGGCTAGAAGAAAACAAAAGTAAAAATATTTGTGTATCTATACAGCATGCATGGGCAGTTCCCCAACCATATGAGAATTGGGTTATTTGAGAAAAATAAAACATTGTCATTTGGTGACAGAAACAGCAGAAGAAATTTCTGACAGGTGTGATGGTACACATGCAGTCCCAGTACTTGGAAACCTGCTGCAGGAGGATAGCAAGTTCTAAACCACTCTGGGTTATACAGCAAGAGTGTGTACACACACATACTTGCACACAAGAAGAAAAAGATTTCCTGAATGTTGATGAGAAGCAGCTGAATACTTCCATCTATATTTGTTACTAATGATTTAAAAGGTGCCAAAGAGGTAAAATTTCTGATTATGCTGCTAAAAGCTAACAAAGAACTCTTTCAGAGTTATAATAGACATTAACATTACAATTACAGAAATATACTGGCACAACAGGGTGGAAATCATAAATATGTATAGATGAATATAAAATGAAAAATTTTAATTTTGTTACAAGCCTTAACTCTTTGGCATTTTTAGCAATTTGCCACATTGCACTATCACTAAAATACCTTTTTAAAATTGCAATGCCAATTTCATCACAACACAAAAAATGACCTCTCCCATGATTCTGTGTCATTCTTGAAGAATGAAGATGCAGAGAAATTAATGATGAAATAACTAAAGAACAAAGGCTGAATACTTACAAAGAAAATATACCTGGTATATGTTAACATGTTTTGACTACTCAAAAAAAAAAAATCTTAGTTTAAGAAAACTAAACTATATAAATCTTAGACTATAAAAACCATTATTTTGATTAAGAAAATAGCCACTGGCTGAGAGCTGGTGTATCACCAATTGCCCTGCAAGCCTGACAGCCTGAGATGGATACCAGAACCCAGCAGAAGGAAGAAGGGAACCAGCTCCTGAAATCTGTCCTCTGATCTCCACATATGCACCATGGCATACACACCTGCACGCATATGCAGGCCTGGAGAGAAGGCTCAGCGCTTAAGCACTTGTTGCCCTTGCAGAGGACCTAGGTTCAGTCCCTAGCACCCCAATGGTAGCTCACACTACAACTGTCTATAATTCTAGGGCCAAGGGATCTGACGCTAGTATATACATGCAAGCAAAACATTCATACACAGAGAATAAAAATAAATATCTAAACAAGAGTCTACAGTGCAGACCCCTATGTTTTATAAAATATGTCTACTTTAGTAATGTGTTTACTGCTAGGTGAAGCATATTTGTTCTGAAAGTAATACCAAACTGAGACTAAACCAAATCTACAATTATCTCCTATGTACAGAAATAAACTAGCACAACAAACATTCCTAGCATGTGACTTTCAACAATTTGCATACATCAGTGTAAGAAAAAAAACTGGGGCCTGAAGAGATGGCTCTGCGGTTCTGAATCCCCAGCAACCATATGGTGGCAAACAACCATCTATAAAGAGATCTGCTGTCCTTTTCTGGCATGCAAACATACATGCAGACAGAACACTATATATAATAAATAAATAAAATCTTTTAAACAAAGAAAAATATTTGGATTCATATCCACCAAGTTCATCATGAGCAGATAAGTTTTCTGGGGCTATCATAACAAATATGGTACTGATGAATTCTGTTATTTGCTTAGCTCTTTAAAAGACAGAAAAAAGTTTTCTTAGTTAAGTATGCAGCAAGAGTCATAACCTAATTTAATAAATTAAAAAAGAACTTTAATCTCTATTTTTGCATGGAGAATGAGACAAATAGAGATAAATTATACAGTATTTCTTAGACTTATATTTTATATTTTCCAGATGAAAAAGTAAAAGCTGGAAAAAACAGAGAAAGTGCTTTTCTAACGTTAAAAATAGCAGGCTTCTTAAACAGAGTTCATCTTTTGGAGAACCTCACCTTTGCTGCCCCAGAATATTGCAGAAGGGCCCATGTTCAATGAGGATTAGAGAAAGCAGCGGCAAAGCATACCATAAATAATGTCCTACAGTAAACACACCATCCACAATCATCTTACGTTTTTTAATTTAAAAATATGCCTTCTTCCTTTTCCTTTACTGGAAACTTTCTTTTCAGCAGCTGGGGCAGATTTGTATTTGGTATTTCTGAGCCGAGCAGATCTTCTGTGAATTTCTTGCTTACTCTGTTACATAATTTTGAGAAAAATAATTAAAACTGTTAAAAAAAAGCCAATAAAATAATTTCACAAAGATCGAAGGATGCACTTTGTTAAAATACTTTGAAAATCTGAGGGCAAAGATGAGTAAAACCTCTGCAGGGCCTCCCAAGAGGTGGCGCTGCTTACCAGAGAGAAAAGAACAGGAGTGGGTGGAGGCCAAAGCGGGAACGGGAACTTCGTTAGTTTAAGGCTATCACACAGCAAAAATACCGAATTTACAGCCCCTCCACCCCAAAAGTTTGCCACGTATCTCACAACAGAATTCTAATGTTTTCATTTTAAACGACCTAACAATTGATTAATAATATAATGACAACGATTTAACAAGCAAACGGGCCTTGGCCCACAACTCGGTGGCCTATGGCATAGCGCGCTGCTGACACTGGGTTCGGTGCAATTTCCGCAGCTTGTCACGCACCGTCCAGTCTACAGGGCAGTGCGGGCAGAGGGGACAAGAGCTCACCTGCTTACCGCCCCCGCCCCCGTTGCTCTGCGGAGGGCCGGCCGAAGTGCTGGCAAGGGTGGCCGTGCCGAAGCCGCCGGCGACCCCGGTCCCGCCCGCCACCCCTG